GCCCTTTTGATTTTCCAACTCTACACCAATGTTCATAGCAGCATTATTCACTATCACAAGAACATGGAAACAGCCCATATAATAAAATACTATGCAGCACACAGAGGCAATGATTTTGTAAATCACTACCTAACTTGAGAGGGACTAGACAGCATTAAGCTGAGTGAACTAACTCAGTCCTACAAGGACAAATACTGTACAAAATCATTATTGTAGAATGAGTATGAGGATCCAAGGAGCGAATATAGGGGCGTGGATGGGGGGGGAGTAAGGTGTTAATCATAGGGTGGGTTTGATGGGTGGGTGGGGTGAAGGAAATGGGAAGCATCTTTTGTGAAAAAACAATGTATTCAAACTTTAGAAATAAATCAGAATAAAATTTAAAAAAATTAAAAAAATAAAAAACCTCACATTTGAAAGCATGAATTCTTAGTTATTAAAAAAACCCATCTGCAGTGACTTTTAAACTAAATAATAATTTACCCGTAAGATTAACGATTATAGCTCTGTGTATTAAATTTTTAAAAATTCTACAAAACTAAAGGGTCAACAGCTATTTTAAATCACAATTGAGATGGTTAGGAGGAGGGGCAAGGAGATTAAGTACATGGAAGTGAAACAACGAGAATTATTAGAATAGTATGCTGACACAATATGAAAAAAGTAACTAATCATTAAACACTATACCTAGAAACGAAAGTGGAAGTGGACTTCTGTATATTTTTTAATAAAAAAATTTTAAACAATGAGATAGATCCTGGTTTTACTTAAAAAAAAACACACCCTAGTTTTATGTGTTTAAACAGTTTATGTATATATGTAGATATATGCACATGGTATGCATATATGTGCTGCATATATACATATATGTATTATGTATGCACACATATATATATTTTAGAGAGAAAGAGAGGAAAAGCTTGAAAAGCTCCACTGGTGTTGTAATCTGTAGAGAGTAGCACTGCTAACCCAAAGGCAATGGGTCTCTGGTTGTTCGAATCCATCAGAAGAAAGATTTGCAATCTCCTTCAGTGTAATTTATAGTCTAGGACACTTGATGGAGGGTCACCTATTGGTCCGTTCTGGCTTGACATCAACATATACATCACAGTACTTGAGAAACAGTAGTAGAACTGAAAAGGGGTGGGGGTGGGGGAGAAGCCCCATGACTAGAATAAGAAAATGTGGGTAGAAGTCAGCAATATTCATTTCATATTAGCTTTGACATAAGGAACAATTTAAAGTTACTAGGTTTTTTATTAGCCTTGGCTGGTTCACACAACATATTCAATAATGTTGTCTATAGCAGCAGTCATTGCTCTGTCTAGCTAAGTTTAAAAAAAGAAAGAAAGAACTACAGACAGCACCTCTAATACTGTTTTTAACAGATTTGTTTGTTATGTGTATTGTAGATGGCACAAGAGAAGATTGCCCATCTTTCCCCAAAGGAGCAGCTGGTGACTTTGAACCACCTTCCTGTGGGCTGGCAGTGCAACTCATCACCAGTTGCAACCATACCCATCACCTGCCACATTTCACTCTTTTAGAGTGTACAAATAAAAGATTTTTAGCATACTTAAATTGTGCAACTATCATTACAATTAATTTTGGAATATTTTTCATCACTTTTCCCAAAGTACACCATTAAATTAGAAGTCATCTTCATTCCATTCTCCTAGGCTGCTCCCTCCTCAGCAACAGGCAACCATCAAATTGTCTTTGTAGATATTTCATACAAATTAGGTAATATATGGTCTTTCGTGACTTGTTTCTTTCATTTAGCATAGTGTCTTCAAGGTGTTTCCATGTTATAGTACATATTCAGTAGTTCATTACCTTTAAGTGTCAAATAATATTCCATTGTATGAGTATGGGGTTTAGGATTAGACACTTATAACCAAGCTTAGAATTTGGTAGAAAGAATTATCTAAGTTGCCAAATATTGGGCAAATACTTATTGAATAAATGAAGAAAGGGGTATGTCTAGCTGTCTGTGGTCTTAAACTAGTTTTTCTGCAACATCTACCAATATAAATTCATGCATAGACATGATGTTACTCACTTCAGTCCTCTTCACATGAAAACACAGATTATACATAAAGGGTGCAAATCCAACTGTGTGCAACAATAAACTTAGTCAGTAAAGGTAAGTTTAATGCTAGTTCTACCTGAATGACTTTTGTTAAGTCACCCAACCTCTAGGAACCTCAATTAAATAAGTACTCAAAATCCCCCAAGAATATACCCACACATAGTTAACACAGATAAAGATAATGTCCTTCCTTTATGGTGATACTGTGAAAACCAAGCCAAGCTTCCTCCACTGGAGTCAACTTCAACTCAGAGAAACTCCACAGGACTGAATACACTACTCACAGGGCTTCCAAGGCTGTAAATCATTGTGAAAGACTACTACATCTTTTGCCACAAAGTGACAGAAGTACTTAAGTCTACAATCTCATTGTTGTTGTTGTTAGTAGGCAAATTCCCTAAGTACACCACCACCAGAAGCCCTGTGATTATTGTGAGGCCCAGGTTAAATTAAAACACGTGGAAATAAGATGTAAACTACATTCCTACAATTATCATTGTCATTCTAAAAGTATGAAAAC